AGAACAACCGAGCTTTCAAGGCCTAATACCCAACCCCTAATTCCAGAGACGCGGCCAAGACGAAGGGGATCTCAACCGCCGACTGGTGCGACCACTGCAAACGTGCAGGGCACAACCGAGAAGGTTGCTGGGTCCTTCATCCTCATCTCCAGCCGGCTCGAAACAAAGGGAGAGAGGGAACTGGAACGGCGCAAGGAAGGAGAGGAGATTCAGGGGATTCGGAGGTGCAAACAAACGGGTGGAAATGAGCCCTAATGAAGGGGCTGGACCTGGATCTACTGGGCTTGGAGCTGGAGCTGCTGGATTTGGACCCGGATTGGCCCAATCTAATTTAAATGAAGGTATTAGGCCTTCTGTGACACCTACAGCCCAATTGACGCAACTAAACGGTTTGTTACAGCAACAAACTTCAGGTTTTGTACTCTCTAAACCCGTTTTAAATTATTTAAATATTTCTAAAGTTGCTAATTTCTGTCAAAGTACAAGTGGCTGGATTATTGACTCTGGTGCTACGGATCATATGACATGGGACAAAAGTAAAATACAAAATGTCACACAAATTAAAGAACCTCAGCATTCATTGTTGCGAATGGAAATAGAGCCCAAATTGGTGGTTTTGGTACAACCAGATTTCTTTCAAAAAACGTGAAAAATATTTTATACTTGCCGGGTTTTAATTCAAATATATTATCTGTTAGTAAAATAACTCAAGATTTAAATTGTAATGTTATATTCTCACCAAACAAAGTGATCTTTCAGGATCGAAAATCAGGGAAGAAGATTGGTGAGGGGTTTTTTAAAAAATGGACTTTATTTTCTTGAAGAAAATTCCAATAGTTGTCATGCGTCGATCAGTCCTACAGATCATGACAAGTTGCTGCATTGGAGATTTGGCCATCCATCTGACCAAGTTTTAAACAAACTTTTTTATTATAATCTTAACTCTAGCAATTGCAATGTTTGTAAGTTTTCGAAGCAAACTAGGTTGCCTTTTTCCTTATCTACCCATGTATCAGAAAAATGCTTTGACTTAATTCATTCTGATGTGGTGGGGCCCGGCCCCTGTGGATTCTTATAATAACTTTAAGTATTTTGTTACATTTATCGATGACTTTTTCGTACCACTTGAATTTATCTTTTAAAGGGAAAAAATGAGGTTTTCTCACGTTTTCAAGAATTTTTTAATTTTGTTGAAAATCAATATGGTGCAAAAATCAAGATTTTTAGATCTGATAATGGAACAGAATATGTAAACAAAACTTTTTTAGAATTCTTTAAATTGAAAGGAATTTTACATCAAACTACATGCATTAACACACCTGAACAAAACGGAGTTTCCGAAAGGAAAAATCGTCATCTACTTGAAGTCACTAGGTCACTTCTTTTTCAAAGTAATGTTCCGAAATCCTATTGGTCAGACGCTGTGCTAACAGCTACTTACCTTATAAATAGATTGCCCAGTCTAAGGCTGAAAAACATGAATCCCTTAGAAATCATGAAGGGTCGAAAAATTGACCTTGACCATATACGAGTTGTTGGCTGTACATGTTTTGTACACATAAAAAGACATGACAAATTAGACAAAAACTCTGTTAAAACCATCTTCTTAGGGTATTCTTCTAAAAAGAAGGGATATAAGTGTTATGATCCCAAAACTCATAAACTTTACTTCTCAAGAGACATGTTCCTTTTTTGAAAGCAAACCCTACTATCAATCACATGAACAAGAAAATACACAATGTTCACCAATTATGTTACCTCCACTAAATTTTGTTTTCCCGAAAGAAACAAATCTTGAACAGGTTGAGGAAGAAACAAATCTAGAACAGGTTGAGCATACGGATGAAGAACAGGTTGGTGTAACAGGTGCAATTT